CAAGAATTTTACAAGACTTATTGCTAAGCCTCACAATAATCCTGTTGAGTGGATGGTTTTGCTTTCATTTTATATAAAAATGGAAACAGAAAGATAAGTTGTCTTGATCATCTTGTGAGGGGCAGAGTTGGAATTTGAGCAAAAGGTCTATCTCACTTCAAAGTCTAAATTAGACCCAAGTGATCAAATTGCATGGAAGTTGCAAGAGACTAAAATCTACCCAGATCAAACCAAATAAGCTCTAAGTCCAAATCTCTTTCAGCTGCTATTCACTGCTTCTGGTGGTTACTGACTAGGTCTGTGCTGATTGCTTGATTCATGCCTTAGCAAGATGAACTTGGATGGTGCTTGTGAGCTGCTGGAGAGGTACAGGAAGCCAGGGCATCTCCTGCCACTGGGAACCTGGTTGGAGAACTGAGGGCCACTTGACCTCTGTCTGCATCAAGGTCATTCATCCATGCCCGTGTGTCCCCAGTATCACTCCCAGTTCCTAAAATGGAGGCTAACAGGCCAGCGTTGACTGAATTGTAGCCCAGTCTCTGCCCAAATTAAATTCGTCAGTATCTCCTGTCTTTGTGGACCTATGAGATGTTTTGGTCAGTTCTGAAACAGCATCAAATATTCTTCAAAAATCATTGCCCCAAACAAGAGTCAAAGGCAGGAGTTTTATGCAGTTGCTCAAGGTAAGACATAGCTTTTGTTATGAAGAAACTTAAAAAACCAAAAACAAGATAGCCTTATAATTTCGTTACTGTTCAGAATAAGCAAGCGTTCTCCAACAACTTCAAAGTTCAGGTAGATGGGTAGAACCCAGGGTTCTTTCTCAGAGAGTTCTAGAATAGAATCCAGAGATAGGGTAAAATTCTGTAAAAACTTAGCTCCAAACAGATAAAACAGATTTCAGTAAAATGTTACTTTACATGTGTATAACATCTCTAATCAATACAGAACAACTGTAATCATTTCACTATTTAATAAAATTTGTAAAATATCACCATTTCACAGTTTTGTTAGTAAATGGAAACTCAGAGATGTCAAAAAATTGCCTAAGGCCATATAATGTTGCAGATTGAATTCAAAGCCAGTGTAGGTACCCCTCTATCAGCAACCTTGGAATACTCCATCAAGAGCCAGCCAACTTCTAATTACTAGAGCCTGCATTTTCTGTCTGCTGGCTTTCTCTGTCCCAACGCCCCTCCGTCTGCCACACAGCATGCCGGAAAGTAACGGATTCTTATCTCCTGGACAGGTTGGTGCTCATTTAAAGACTGCCTTGTATACAGCCCCAGTTCCCTTCCCCTCCACTATAAACGCTGCAGACTTCTACTCAGTGTTCAGATTTCCCAGTACGCAGGTCAAGCTGAGTTAACCACAGACTCATACTTGTTTGATAACAAATTTTTACTGGCTGTCTTCCCATTCCTGGTCTCATTCCTAGACACTTTCTAACATAAACCTTATCACTCATATCTTTATTTCGCGGTTTGCTTCTACAGGATTCCTAAAGGAACGACCCAGTTGTCTGATCAAAAGCCGAGACCATTTGTTTTCCTACGTGCGGTGAAGGGGGAAGGCTGCATGTGCTGCTCATTTCCCCAAATAAGAAGAGAAGGTGGCAAATGGGTAGGAACCCAAGTAGACCTTAGTCGTGAGTACACAGAATCATGCGTTGCACGGCCAAGAACACAGGCAATCAAGAGGTATGGCTGTGCAATTGGACAACACTTTTATGGTGAAGATTTCAGCGGCACTATCCCAATATTTCTCAACCAAGACACCGACACGGATTCTAGGATCCTGCCACCTTCCTCCAGTCGGCTTAGCTGAGAGAACGACATGAGCGCCCATCACACTGAACAGCATGCGCAGATAGAGAATTCTTGACAGATGGAGGATAGGAACGGCAGGCGAGCCTCCTGCAGCGCACCCTCATGTATGGTTAGGTGGCCCATATGACATTGCTCGCTTTGTTAGCTGAGACAAGCAGAATCCAGAAGTTTATATGGTCAAACTATAGACTGGAATTCCAAAACATCTCCATTTCTAATCTTCCAGGACTTTCAAAATCATTCCTTTTCAAATCCCATTCCTACATATGTGCCTTGAACATCTGCCCATTACCATCTCTGAGCTCTGACTAACCTTCCTACTATATAAATGGGTGTATCGGCCCGGGTGCCGTGGCTTACATGCCCTGTAATCCCAGCATTTGGGAAGGCGAGGTCGGCGGATCATCTGAGGTCAGGCAGATCGACGACCATCCTGGTAAACACGCGTGAATATCCATCCTCTTACTAAAATACACAGAATATAGCCGGCGTGCTGCGTGGCGGGTGCCTGGTAGTCTCGCACTCGGGAGCTCGAGCAGGAGAATTGGCGTGACCCCGGGAGTGGAGCTTGCCATGGAGCCAAGATCACGCCACTGCACTCCCAGCATGAGCTAACAGAGTGAGACCGCCGCGTCTCAAAAAAAAAAAAAAAAAAAAAAACACGTGTGTATCGAAGGTCCATTCTAAATGGCGTTGTTGAAATACTTAATGGATAATCAAAAGTGAACTCTAGGTCCCAACCCTCAACATATGAATCGGTTGCTCATAACCCATAGACTCATCCTGTACAGAGGTGCCTTCCAACTCTCCTGCCTCTGAAAGCGCAACCCAGAATACGGGTTCTGGAACACCAAAAAGAATAATTAACAATGAAAAGGTTTTGCTCGTTGATTTGCATGACTGTTTTATATATCTAACCAGTTTACACTCAATGCGTAAAAGCTAAACATTATTTCACACAATTTTGGAAACATCACTAGGAAAATTTTGCTCTAACACGAAGGGAGAAAAAATTCTACGATAGCTTAAGCTCACTTAAAAACTGCAATATGAAGAATTCTGGCTAAATAGTCCAGGAAGTTATTGAGAGTGAGGCAGGATTTCATTTCATCACTCTTCCAAATCAAAACCAAGTAAGACTAAATATTGCATAAGAAAGTTATAGGAATTTCACAACGAATTCCTCTTGAACTAGGACTGGTGCACAAAAATTTTAGATCAACGATTCTACCCTACGTAAGGTATAATTGTATTGAAGATGCCGGTTTTAAATATTGTAGAGTCCTACTTGAACCTCTCTTACAGTCATTGTCACTTAACAACTGCAGATAACATTCTGATAAATGTGTCCTTAGCCTATTTCATCATCGTGGAGGAACATCATAGAACCGTACCCCTACACACAAGAGGTACGTGCCTACTACACACCCCTCTCAATAACCGTGTGTGCGTCCTATTCCCCAGGGCCAACACACCATCACCCCCCCGCTTACGAGCGAGCGTCCCGACCACACCTACCTGTATGCCAATGGACAACACACTTAAATTAACACACTCTAAACTAAAAAGGTACAATGCGGCTGGTCACAGTGGCCTCAACTTCTGTAATCCCCCAGGCACTTTGGGAGCAAGGTGGGCAGATCACTTGTCGTCAGGAGTTTGAGACCAGCCTGGCAAACATGGCAAAACCCCCGTCTTCTCTTAAAAAATACAAAACTTAGTCAGGTGCAAAATGTGGCACCCTGTAATCCCAGCTACTTGTGAGGCTGAGGCAGGAGAATCACTTGGACCCAGGGAGGTGGAGGTTGCAGTGGAGCTAGATCGCGCGCAGCTGCACTCCAGCCTGGGGGAAAGAGTGAAACTCTGTCTCAAAAAAAAGGAGAGGAGAGGAGAGGAGAGGAGAGGAGAGGAGAGGAGAGGAAAGGAAAGGGTACAATGCAATATGGCATAAAAGGTAAAAAATGCTATAGGACACTTGCCATGAATGGAGCTTCCAGGACTGCAGGTTGTCCTAGGTGCATCACTGAGTGAGTGGTAAGTAAATGTGAAGGCCTAGGACATCACTGTACACTACTGTACACTTTATAAACACTCCATCTAAAAAAAATTCTTCTTTCAATAATAGATTAACTCTAGCTTCCTGTAACTTTCTTACTTTGTAAACTGTAATTTTTAACTTTATAACTTTCTAATACCTAGCTTAAAACACAAACACATTGTACAACTACACAAAAGTATTATTTCTTTATATTCTTATTCTGTAAACTTTTTCTAATTTAAAATTCATTCTTTTTTTAAACTTTATTTTGGTTAAAAACCAAGACCTAATTACATACATTAGCCTATTCTTACACAGGGTCAGGATTGTAAATATAATTGTCTTCCACCTCCACATCTTGTCCCACTGGAAGGTCTTCGCGGGAATAGCATCCATGGAGCTGTAACCTCCTCTGATAACAATGCCTTCCTCTTGAGTGTCTCCTGAAGATCATGCCTGGGGCTACTTTTTAGTTAACTTTTTTAAAAGTAGGAATATATGCTAAAATAATAATTAAATGTGTAGTATAGTAAATCATAAACCAGTCATATAGTTCTTTATTTTTATTATCAAACATTATGTACTATACATAATTGTATGTGCTAGAATGTTATATGATTGGCAACACAGTAAGTTTGTTTACACCATCATCACCACAAACCCATGAGGAATGTGTTGCTCTATGGTGTTATGATGGCTGTGCTTTGACTATGCCACAGGAATTTTTCAGCTCCATTATAATCTTATGCTACCACCATCATATATGTGGTCCATCATTAACCAAAATATCATTATACGATGCATGACCGTACATGATTTTGGACAGAGCAATGCACTTTCCTGATTCTCAATTTTGAATCTATAACAGAAATATACCTACATCATATAATTATTGGGAGGTTAAATAAAAAGAATGTCTGAAAATATCACTAGTTTAGAAACTGAACAGCATTCATTATTTGATGAACTGATCAGTTGTACAGCTAAAAGATGACGACTGTCTCCTATCTACTCCACTAGATGAAGCTGCGGCAGATGCTGTTTGGATGAAGAGAAATATAAGGTGACATTGCCCAGAGGAATAAGCACACATCAGTTGCATGAGCAGGGAAAACATGATGAAATCAAAAAGGCATGTTTAGGAAACTTATTTAATTTATTATCTCCAAAGTAAATCATATTATTTTATATTTGCAAAAACATCAAGCATTTTGGGCTTTAATGTGGTAGATTACATTTACTTTTTACATATCTGGATACTAGACATCACAGTTTTTCTTTTACTGATAAGACAAATAAGAAGCATGGAAATGAACTGACTTCACTCATCCATTATCAAAGAAATAGTTCTCAAGAATTTAATATAGTTTGGATGTAACATGTCCAAATTGAATTAACAATCTTCCTCCTAAACCTGTACCTTTTCCAGAGGCCACCATCTTTCTCTGAAAAAGACAATTCTAGGTATACAGTGGACTAACTATTGTATCACACTGAAGATTTCCCTTTCTTTTGCTGCATACATTATACGAATTTGCATGCCTCACGACTGTCTATAAAATGCATATCAAAGTTGTCCTCTTTTGTTTGTCTCCACTGGTGCCAACTAGGCTGAGTCTTTGTTATTTTTATCAACTGAACCACTGAATTAGCATTTGATTTGTTTTCTTATGTCTCAGAATGGGTTTCCTGAAAGCAGTGGATTGGGCAAACACTTGGCTTCAGGTAGCTTATTTGGGAGTCAATCCCAGGAAGCTAAAGTAAGGAAGCATACAGAGAAAAATGGGGAAAGAAAGAAAAACGGTGAAGGATGCATCACTGAGCTAGTTACAGCTAGAGCCAACTGCGGGTCCATGCCTTGGTGATGTGCTGAAGAACCAGAGAAGATAAATCTCAAAATTTTTCTTCACAAGTTTGGGGGGCTGCAGCATTTATCTGCTCATTTCAGAATCCCATAGTGGAGGGTTTCCCCTAGGGTTAACAACAACCCTACTACCTACCTCCTTCATCTTCACATTTCTAGGCTGCATCTGGGCTAGAACTCTCAAGGGTTTGTATTAAGCCCCAAGGAAGTCATGTGAAAGATACGTGTAATCCTCTGTCTTAGTCCAATTGTGTTGCTATAACAGAATACTTGAGACTGGGTAATTTATAAACAATAGAAATTTGTTTGACTCATGGTTCTGGAGGTTGGGAAGTCCAAGAGCATTGCACCAGCGTCTGAGGGGGGCCTTCATGCTGCATCACCCTGTGGCAGATTGTGGGAAGACAAAAGAGCAAGAGAACAAAAGAGTAAGAAAGTAGTTAAGTTTGCTTTTATAACAAGCCCACTATTGTGATAGCTTAACCCACTCCCACAATAACCATGTAAATTCATTCATTAGGTCAGAGCCTTCTTATTAGGCCACACCTCCCAACACTGTTGCACTGGGAATTAAGTTTCCAATACATTAACTTTTGTGAACACATTCAAGCTAAAGCACCCTTGAAGTGTGAAGCCATCAGTCTCCTAAACATGTGGTTCAGGAGTCACTTTGCCACACCATGAGGGGATCTAGCACAAGACTACTGCCACTACCACAAGCTTTAAGGAGGTCAAACCTATTTTCTACAATAGAAAACTTAAAAAGCTACTGAGACTTAATGAGAGTGAATTTGAATTTATTTATTGTTGATGGCGCTTAGGAGAACAGTGACCTTGTTCCCAATAACACCAAGGAGAATAAATAAAATTTTACTAAGCTACACTGTGTCAGAAACGTTTGAAATGAATTCTTCAGTGTCTAATACACTAACAGCTAACCACATGTGGCTATTTAAGTTTAAATTAATTATAATTGAATACAATTAGCATTAAAATAGCCGCATGTGGCTAACTCCACCATCCTGGACAGACAGCACAGATATAGAGCATTTCCATCCTTGTAGAATGTCTCTTGGTTAGTGCTGGTATACATTATTTATGGTTGACTGCAAAAGCAGTCTGGAATTCTTGCCATCCCTATTCAGGCCCCTTTAAAAATGTAATTTTACAGAACTCCATCAAAAGTTGATGCCTGTTTCTCTACCCCTTAAATCTGAGCTTGCCATGTGACTTGCTTCAACGCATAGGAATATGGTGAAATTCATAAAAGCACTGACAAACATCTGTGCATGGCTGCTCACTCTTGCTCTTGGTTACCATACTTCCTGATGTGTGTCTTTCAGGGTCTAGGCATCCAAGCTGTTCCCTCATCTCTTCAAGCCTCCTATGGCTGTGCTAGCACCTCTCTCTCTGCCTGGAAAGTACTTTTCCCCTGCCCAACCATCTGATATCTTCTCAGATAGGAAGACTCAGCTCAAGTCTCTCTCTCTGTACAGCATCCCTGGATTGCTTTTATGTCTTCTTCTCACCCCTAGCATTTTACACAGGCTTTCAGATGGGAAGCAAGCAGATTATAATGTAACTCCTTCTCTCAGCTCTTCCATCCTTCTAGATTGAGCATCTCAGTGGGAAAAACTTGATCTTATCCATGTCTGTATTCCTTGCCTCTTTCATGATTCTTGGCACTGTGAATAAGTACCTCATAAATCCACAATAGACAATTGAAAATACTTTACAAATTCATTCTGCACTTCATTTAACTTCTTGTAAGTTCGTTAAATTGATGCAATCCAAACAGTAACAAACATCTGCTATCCAGTTCCCCTCTCCAATTTGTAAATATTGCTCTGTGCTCCAAAATCTATCTAAAGTACTATGGATTTTTTACCTACTATACTGTCCAGTCTTCTTTATTCTGACATTCCAACAATTTCAGTCCACAAAGCTTAAAAACTGTGGCCTAGTGGGCATAGCTTCCCAAACTCTGTTACTGGATTCCTGCTTGCTCTACGCCCTTCCCTACCCCCAGCATCGTCCTTCAGAATTATAACTTAAGATCCTTCTACAGAATATCCCCACATGGAAAAGACTCCTAGGAGTGAACACATGAACTTTGGAATAGCCTGTCCTCTAACTCCAGTGCCCAGATTCAGTTGGTAAAATGTTGAAAGAACATGGTTCTAGAAGTTGGGAAGTCCAAGAACATTGCATCAGCATCTGAAGGGGACCTTAATGCTGCATCATCCTGTGATGGAAGGTGGAAGAGCAAGAGAGCAAGAGGACAAGAGAGTGAGAAGTTACTACATTCAACCCGAGAAGCTTGAGTTTAGCCCAGGATTATCTACTCTATATACTCATAACATTTTACCCTTCCTTGAAGAAGGAGCTTAACCTCTCTGTGTCTTGATTTACCCATCTCCTATTGATAGGCTTTCAGAGTTATGTTGACAACCGCAGACTGTGCATGCATACGTTTAGCAGTGTGTCTACTCCAGTGCCTGGCACTTTGGAAGGGCTTACGAAGGGCTTGCATGTAGCCACTAAAGAATATCTAGAATCCAAAATCTATTACCTGTTAGGATACCTCCTAGGCATGTGACTTCTCCTGTCAGAAGTCTCCCAGGGCCCAGAGAAGTGTGTCTTCGTGCCTTCAGAATCTTCTGACCATATAGTAAACAATGGATCTGGACAATATAGTAGATTAAAAATCCATAGTACTTTAGATAGATTTCGGAGCACAGAGCAATATTTACAAATTGGAGAAGGAAATTGGGTTTGGAAAATTCCTGTGGTCTAAACTAACAGAGAATGGGAAGCCTTTAATTTTTGCATGACGAGTGTTTTCCAAAATTTTTTCTAGGTATTACAGCTGAGATCATACCAAATAGTACCCACAAGGGGATGGTCTAGCCCTAATATAAGAGATATTCGAGGGAAACTGGAGGGAAAATCTAAGAGACAATGAAAATGGCAAATCTACCCATTCCAGTCAATATTCTGGGTATAGAAACCTTCCAATCAAATTTTATTGCTTCAAAAGAAAGCATTTGTGACATTTAGACAATATCATTTAGAAAGCTGATAGGAGACAGGTGTAGAGAAAATTAAAATCTTGCTTCCGTGGACTTACACAAATAATAATAATAGCAAAATAACAATCCCAAAGCAGTTGCACAGATAGAAGAGACTGATAGAATTTAACGGGTCTGCCCAGAAAGCAAAGAAAATATTTAGAAGTCATTGACCTCTTGGCTTCAGGGATGATTTTCATACTCCGTAGCATATGTGGCACCATCTGAATGATGCTTGGAAACATCTGTCCCCACCTCCCACTCAGGACATTGTCTCCACCACCCTGCTTGGTGATGGAGCTCAATCATCCCTCAGAAGCAAACATTTTCTGGATACGTCCTCTTTAGGCCAGCCTGACTTTTAGAGAGGATTTTTTCCCTTCCAGATCCTTGTTAAAATATAGTGAATGATTATTAGCACTGACGAATACTTTTAATGTATTACAATTATTAAATGTCCTTATTTACGGATATTTAAGGCTGTATGCAAATATGCAATCTGTCTGGCAGTTGTGACATATTGATACTGAGAGTACAAAAATCAAGAAGCCTGAATCTACCACGGGCTCTGCCAGTACTGAGCTCTGCGGTCAAACCACATCCTCTTTCTTGAATTCAATTCCCAGTGGTAAAGCGAAGGGCTCTGATTAGGCAATATTTCATATCTTCTTCTGCCCTGAAATTCCCTGACACTATATAGTTTCCTGGTGATATCTCAAGAGAAGAAAAGACAGCCCTGGTTAGTGTGAATTTTGGAGACAAGAGAAAGGAAATGAAAAGAATGAAAGTATGAGGTCGGGAACTGGGGAGAGGAGTGGCCGCAGGGCAGAGGCTCCCTTAGCAATTTGATGTCCTTGGGATGGAGGCACCAGAAGCTAAGGGAGCTACAAGAGGGATCCAGCCTCAGGGAAAGTATTAAGAGGAGGGACACCCGAGAGACAATCGCTGTCTCCTTTCCAGGTTGGCCTCAGGCTGGCTCTACCCCAGATGTATCTTGCCAATATTTATAGGAAGTAGAATTTGTGAGGTTTGTAAATTCCAATACTTTTTAAAACAACTTGAGAGAAGTAGTCGGGCTTGTGATTATATTAATGAAAGCATTGTAAACATCAAACTGTGAAAGAGCTCAGAACTCCCTAACCTTCATATTGTCTAGAGGGGAAACCCAAGCCCAGAGAGGTGGATCTGCTTGCTGAGGGGCATACAGCTGATGAGCAGGAGATGCAAACTGCAAATAAATTTCAAATAGGAAAAAACAAAAACAAAAAGATCATCCAAAGATTTAATTCTCCACTTCAAAATGCTGAATCAGAATATATACAATTTTCCTTATGCATCTCAACTGCAACCTTCGTTGTAAAGCAACGTTTAGGGGAAGTGTAATATGTGGAATTAACTTAGTCTTACTTAACTGACTGTTTGACATGCATAAGCTTTCAAATGTCTAACATCACTCACCTGCAGATACTGAGTGTCTGACCCCAGGGCATGCCCTCCACCGGAATGCGCTGCCAAGACCACTGTTTGCTTAATCCCACATGCAAACCAAGCAAACTGCTTCACATTCTGATGCTGGCCATGTGCAAAGCTTTTCCCTTAAAACCGGAAATAACAGTTTTTTTAGGTTATTGGGTTCAGCGTAGGAAAAGCCGATGAAGGAAAAGAAAGAATGGAGGGTGAGGGAGAGGAGGAAAACTAGGGATAGAGGAAGAAGAGGAAAGTGAGGGTTGGTGGGAGAGGTAAAGCTTTAGAAACCTGAAGTAGCCATGACATTTCTGAACATAATTAGAAAAATGTTGTTATTTCCCCAAAGAAAAACACAGATTTCTTCAAGGAAAGAACTCCTCTTAGTAGGGGGAGGTCTTCTGTTTTCCAGACACACACAGATCCAATCTGCCTCACTTTGAGCTACTTTAACCTGAAGATGGATTGCTTTAATTCATCATTTCCAGGATAAAAACAGCAAAGCTCTCCAGTTTCAGAATCAGAAGCCATAGGAAACACAGGAAGTCCGTGATAGCACTGCAGACCCTCAGTGGACCCTTCGGAGCCAGGGACTGCCAGCTGCTCCTTTCAGATCCCCACCTGAGGGCTACCCTGCACCTCCCAGCCCTGCTGACCGTGACCTCAGACGCCTCCTGGAATTCACTGGAACTTGCAGCCTCTTAACCTCAGCCTTGACCCATTGCCTTTGGTTTATGGCTCTGATCTGTTACCTGTCATGGCCTCCACCACTTTATATCTGCCCCAACAGTAACATAAAGATAAACATTTTAAAAGCACTCTGCTCTGCAAAGGACTTGGCTAAGAAAATGCCCTTTTCCTTCTGCAGTGTGAAGCAGAGACCCTGGGTGGATGGGACGGAGTCTGCGGGGGCCAGGCTGAGTGTGTGTGGGCGGCAGTGAGGACAGGAAGGGAAAGAAGCCAGAGCGTTGGGCCCTCGTGGTGGGAAGAGGAAGGCTCTGCACAAATGTGAGGGAAGAAGACTCTAAACAGAACCCAGAATGGCAGCCGCTGTTTCAGGGGCAATCCTGTTAATCAGATGCATCCTGCAAGGAGCACGGTCTCTAAAGGCCGCTAATGATCGTGGAGCTTTTGTATGTCAGGTGCTGGATTCCATGAATGTCCCACATATTGACTTGTTAAACGTATTTCTTATAGACCTGAAATTACTAGTATAACTCAGGGCCAGGACTTTGTCAACTTTAACTACTTAGCAATGCGATATGGCCAGGAGATGGGCAACAAACCTGTATTCAAACTCAGACACGTGCACACGTCATCCAAGCTATTTGAGCCATCTTTATAAAATACAGGTGATGCTGAGGGGCTCGCCAGTGCCTCCTCCTCCAGCCCATCTCCATCATGTACCCTGCGTGCATCCCAGCCGGGTGAAGCTGCTATTTTAAAAGCCATCTCAGCCCCTCAAGATCTGAGCTTCAGGTACACAATATTGGAAAATCACCTTATATTTCTAGGCCTCAGTTTACTTTACCTGTGATGTGAAAATGACAATATCTACCTTATAGAATTATTTAATGATGAAATTACCTGCTAACACCCATAAGCCATCAACAAAAACTAGGAGTGGTCCCCAGCCTGTCTCCCCAACTATGACTCTTGCAAAAGTGATCATATTCCCAGTGCAGCATCTCCTTCATCTGGATGACAGGAAAAGGAAGCTTGTGAAAGCCCACAGGACTGGTGATGTGAATTTATCAATTGAGTGACATATTATTTTAAAATTTTTGCATTACAAAGAAAAGGGAAGTACTACTTTGCATTAGGTGGACTAATTTAGCAACCAAAAGTAAGTTATTTTCCTAAAACAAAACAAAACAAAACAAATCTCATTTAGCTGAATTCTCCAGGTGGAGATTCTCTCCCTCTGAGTCTTGCCTCCAGCCTCATCCCCCCACCACTGCCTGAGCCCCTCCCCTTCCTCCACCACCATCTCTGCCCCTCCCCACCCTCTCTCACTGAGGCTCCCGGGAGGCCAGGTCTGTTCCTAGTTAAGGACAGGAAAAGAATGAGGTGAAGTCGTTGCTATTTGCTATAGATGTCAATTCCATGAAAGATCACAGGCAGCACGTCTACATTTTTACAGTGTGGTTCTGTCTTTTCAGGGTTTTCTGTCTCCTCTAGTTCCTGCTCCAAGCTCCCTGGTTGCAGACTGCTTTCAACCTAATGAGGCCTCTTCCTACCTCTCAGAGCAAACGCTGGCGTCTCATGCCCACCTTAACATACACAACCTAGTGACTTGTTCTGAACTCTCCTTTTCAGTTAAAAATAATCATGGTCTAGACGTGCTTCTGTAACTTATACAACAAGAGGATCTGGTGTCCAAGAAAGCAGTCTTAAAAATGAAATATAAGGCCCTGTACATTCAAAACTTAAAACAGTTTCTAAATTCTAACAAGTAGAAATTAGACATGAACTATACTTTCAAAGCCGCGCTCATGTGGGGAGGGGGAGCCCCCCACAGTGTGACGTTTCTAAGTCATAGACAAGAGAGCAGAAATATGAGAAAGGTGTGTTGTCTCCCAGAGAGCAGGTATTTCTTTTAATTTTTCATTTTGATTCCACTAAGATCTTCCCAAATGTGTTTTTGGTGAAGTGATTTGAACATTTAAGGTTTCTCATTTTGAAAGACTAACCAATTATCATTTTTTTAAATTAAAAAAAGTTGTGGGACAGTTGAAATAGAGGAGTTATATTTCAAGAATCTTCCATCTCTACTTTCTGGGGTGCTCCCTCCCCTTACGCTGCACTGGTGATGGAAGCGATTGGATTTGGTCATTGGTGGGGCTGGAGGCAGGGGGGAGAGGAAGACTCTAGAGTTACAATTGACTTTCCGAGTTTTAATCTAAAAATTTTAAAAAAATGGTAGTGCCATTTTCTAAATATCCTCCACTGGAAGAACAGGTTTGGGGAGAGTGGGGGATTTTGAGTTCACTTTGGACATGCCAGTTTCGAGACACCTGTGGGGCACATCACTGGAGATACTGAAGTGGCTGTTACAGATTCCGGGCAGAGCTGGGAAGAATCTAACTCAGAGGCCCATGCTGGAGGGCACCAGAAGGCAGCAGATCAGTGAGGCCGTTGGCATGGGT